GCCTCATCCTTCCAGTTTGGTGGAAACCAGTTTGAAACTTTTTCCTTAATCTTGCCGACAAATAAATCAACAAATAAACCAGACGAGTGAAAACAAAAACCCCCCCCCCCCCCTCAGGTGAAGTGTCTGATTGTTTTGTTGTGAATAAAACATCATCAGGATCAGATCAGAGCAACACAGCAGCTTGATTTTGTTCGACATCACTCTGCACTGGTTGCTTTTCAACTCCTTTCATTTCGTTTCCAATTCAGCCGATTCCCGAGTGGTTCTGTCGGGCAGACTGTGCCCAGGCCACACTAACACACAGACAGAAGCACAGGCCAGTGGATTGATGTTATAAGCTGATGAGTCATATCAATCCATTGCTCTGTCCTCTCAGGGAGGAGGAGGAGGAGGATGAAGAGCTATGATGCCGGGGGCGACGGTCTCGACTCCTGCAGACGACGAGAAGCCTTCCTGGCTACGGTTCCAGACAGCGTGTGATCTGCCAATCCTGCGTCTTTGTGTAGAACACAGACACGTCTGTCTGCCGGCTGCCTCCTGGGACGTTGCACAACACACATCAAAAACCAAAGCGGCTGCTCGCTCTGTAAACATGACAACACGCGATAAACATCAGATGGTCACATTATGAAACTGTGAACTGTGCTGGGTGCTCAGTGTTTCTGATTCCTAAGACCAGTGCTGCAGCGGCTGTCACACACTCACTAAGGGGATCAGGTCTTTATTATTGGTTAATACATCATAACTTAATGCTTCGGATTAGAAACAACCCATGAATGAGAGCACACCTTCAGATTGTCTGTGCCAAACAACAGTGATCCATGATCCATCATTAGTATTTCTTAGGTCTGCGCAAATATTGCAAAAATGATATCAGTCAATTTTCATTATCATGAATGTTCTGGTGTGTGTGTGTGTGTGTGTGTGTGTCCATGCTTGTATTTATGTGAAACTTGGCCACACTGATTTATGTCTGTAATATATAATATTTCTATGCTACAGTATTTCATTATATATATTACATAGTTGTGAATGTCATTTGTTTACAGCCCTATATTTATTTATATTTTGCATCGTTAACATTGACTCAAACGACCACATGAAATGTGTGAAACTTGTTTAACAATTCACAACTCAACAATATCAAAGTCAGTGTGAATAACACATAATAACAAACGTCAAATTCAATCTGTGCTTAGTAAATGTGTTTTTTAGAAAAAACATCTTAAAAGTGACAAAGTAATATTCTTATTTCTAATTCAATTAGCATAGAAATCAAAGTTAATAGTTCAAAAAGCCTATGATAATAAATAAGCCCCTATGCCTGTACTTTCTTTTATGATAATAAATAAGAAAAGTTCTGTTTGTTTAAGGCTTATGTCTTCCATCCTCTTAAATGTGAACACATCTGCAAACACAGTTTTTCAATTGTTTCCAAGATAATTCATGGATGTGACTCAGTGCTGCGCTCTGTGAGTGGGGGATGGGGTCTTCCTCCCAGATCTTCTCATTATGAACACACTGTTCTTCTTTGTCTTCTCTGTGTTGTTCTCTTTCCTCTCTGTCACACAGAGGCTGAATTATGAAATCCAGCGAGCGTCTTTCCCACCATGCACTTCGCTGCCGTGTCTCTCACGGACTCCGACCATTTTCATCTGAGCAGGCCTCCGCTCCCTGGCCTCCTCCTGGCGACCTCCTCCTGGCCTCCTTCCAGAGAGCCGATCGCTGCAGCTGTCCTTCAGCAGAATAGCAACTGATTAATGCTTTCACTGCGACCATTAATGAAACTGCCAGGAGGCTGCTCTTTCTAATTGAGAGGTACAGCACTGGACCAATGAGAAGGACATATACAGTAGGGATAAGTGTGTGTGTGTGTGTTTTAGTGGATGAAGAGTAAGCTGCTCTTGCCTCTGACACCGATGATATAGTTGCCCCAGTAGAATACAAACAGTACACTCTTATTTATGTGAGGGGCTGAAGACTGAGTGTACACAGAATGTTTTATGATTTCATTGAGTGGCTTTTTCCTGTCCTGCGTGAGAGCGGCTGTTCTCCAGCTTTGATCCTGATTTCCTGCACCGCAGCAGAATCATTGTGGTGTCGTGACAAAGTGCCGGTGTCTGGGCCACTGGCACCGGCAGTGATCCACGGGCACTCTGCTGGACACACCCTGACTACTTGGCTCTTTCCTCTCATCCATCTCCCCTCTTCTCATACAGCAAAGTATTCCAGCGCTGCAATCATTCGTTCTGGGGATGAAGGGAGAGGATGCACTTTAGTGACATCCTGGCTAGAAACAAACAGTAATAGCTGTAAAGGCAGTAAAGGCTGCTTCTCTTTCTTTGTTTTTGCCTCTGTTATAATATCCAGTAACCTCCGCTCCACATTCCACTTCCAGAGGGAGCAGCAGCCCTGACCAGAACATACAACATACAACATATAACATACAACGGAGCTGGAGGAACCAGATCTGCTGAGGACTATTATACGTTTACATTCTTTTACAGACTTTTTCAGCAAGATAAAATGTTGGTTTTGTCTCTTCAGGGTTTGTGTTGCTGTTGGAACACAAATGTAATCCTTCATTTCTCAAGTGCTGTTTATGCACATGATTGCCAATAAAATGTTATTACCAGAGACACTGTCTGCACTTGTGTGATTGCTGCTGTCCAAAGTAGGAGCTGTGGGCTTTAAGTTCTCGCAAGCAAGGAACATTAGTGAGTTCGTGTATGGGTGGTGGTGATGATGGAGCTAAAGGAGAGTTGTGTTTCCCTCTGAACTTTCTATATCTTCATGAGATAATTTAGGAAGAACAAACCACTGTTTAAGAAACCTCAGTTCACCACACATCTCAAGTTGACAGCACATTTTCAGGGTTATGGAACTGGATGAAAAATACCTTTTTTTCCTAAAAGAAATCTGTTAATAGTTGTGTTTAATTCCTTAAAGGGAAGTGTAGCTGCTTTCAGACATGCACTACTGTTGGACATTTTCCTGAAATGTTCCAGAGGGACGGGATGTGAAAACATTGACGTCTGTGTCAATTGCTCTGGATGTTTTCCGTAATGTACCAGCCCCCTGGTAAAATGTGTGCCCACAGTGAGTGAGTGAGTGAGTGAGTGAGTGAGCGGGTTGATAACATTAAAACGTAACAGACGCAAAACTAGGAGAATACAAATATCTCAGGATGAGAAACAGGAGACGTTGCCTGAAGGTTCCTGTCTGAAAACAACTTTAGATCTGTAGAGAGGTCGCTTCAACTAAAAAATACCACAAACGTCCTCCTCCAAACTGTAACTCTGACACATCCCACTGTGTTGGCATCAAGGTTTATTATCCTTTATAATGTACAATATACAAAAATATAGGGTACCAAAAAATTCACAGTGTCTAAAAGGCAGTGATTACAGTCTACATGACAGGTCTAACAGTACACCTGGTAAGTTGCATAGAAGGGCACAGAGCCTCACATCACAGGGGGCAGAGTTCAATACTGACCAATCAGATGACTGGCTTTCGCACCGGGCCAATAGAGGCAAAGTTTGGATCAAAAATACTTCCTCTGGATATCCACACTGTGTCCACATTTCATGTTCAGTGCTACGCCGAGTTCTTCTCAGCCTGGGCTCACGTGGAAATTTGATGTTTGAGCAGCTGGGAAAGGTCGAAAGCCGAAGGCAGTCGGTCACATCGCGGAACTCTGTCCCCAAACAAACCTCATGGTTGTGTGTACTTAGCTGCTGCACTTTTTTTTAAACAACTATAAGGCTTTTCTTAAACAAACAGTGTTAGCTATACAATATACAGATACATTTACATGGTCCTCTTCATGGTCATTAGATGGGCTGCAGAAGGCTGTCGCTCATATATACAGATAGAGCTCTCGTTTCGTGCATGTACAGTAGCAGAAGTGAGAAGCATTTTCTGGGTTAGCATTCATCGATCAGGCAATAATAATAAAATATAGCTGTGAAAATGCCCTTTATAAACAGAGCATTAACTATAAATAGAGTCCACTCAACCTCCAGCAGGAACCAGAGGAGCGACGCTTTAACTTACGACGATTAACATCTGGTACGTGAAGTGTAGAAAAACCAGGAGAACGCCTGGAGTGTCAGCGACAGGATGTGGAAAAAGAAATGCCGTTACAGACCTCCTCATATATAATCATGTGTATGAAAGCATTTACATTGTACAAAATACAGTTTCCTCATTCAGGCATACGGACACGCAGAGAGTACATGTGTCTGCATGGACGCACATCGACACACACGTGCACTCGTTTTGATCTTCAGGCAAACTTCTACGCAAGCATCTTTTTTTTCTTTCTATTTTAAGTGAGAATACTTTGGCCATGTCAAAGAAAAAACATGTTGGAGAGTTCAAGAATGACGTTTTAATATTGCGAGAAAAAAGCTGTACATTTACAAGAAAAATTCAAAAGAAAATATTTATTTTTATAAGAATAAAGTAATTTTATGAGTTTTTTTAAACAGGTTTTAATTTAACAAGAATGAAATAGTCATTTTATGAGAATTAAGTAAATGTGAGAAACGAGAATTGAGTTGCAATTTTGCAGCAACAGTAAAAGTCCCCGTAACCATTAAGTATTACATAATTTGTGAGACTTTATTCTCCTAATATTACATCTTAATTCTTGAAATCTCCGAATCTTTTATTCTCTAACGTGACCAATTATACTCCATCGTACAAATAGATGTTTTGTAACAATCATTAATTTTCTTGTAAAAATCAGTAATTTTTATTTTCTTTGTGTTTCAGGAACTGAAGATGTGATGGTTACAGAGCTGCTGAAAAACCAAGAAATGAAAAAAGAATGTTTTCATTCAGTGAAGTGAAATTAGAGAAACAACAATTAATCAGCTATATCTTATTTTAACAAAATATTTCCTCCTATGCTACGGCTCATTTGAGCATAAAACAATTATCTTAAAAAACAAACATTAAAAAAAAGAACAAGTGCCAGTCTACTAGCTTATTCTACCATAATAAAAAAACCCAGTCCAGTTGTTCAGCGCACTGGTCATATTTGATATGACCACCGAGCTATTTAGCACTCAGTAGAATCGATGCATCGATTGGAGAATCAATCATTTCTCTTTCACAAGTCTTTATTGTTCTTGGGAGAAAAAGCATAAGTGTTGGAAAGAAAACAGATGTCGCCCCTGCCCTCTGTTGCGTACAGGCATGTTCATAACCCCCCCTTCATAATGTCCTTGGTCCTCGAAAGGCTCCGATCATGAGCAGATTTAAAAGATTATTTCCAACTGGTGACTCCTTCAAGCAGCCGTCCTAAAACTTCACTCAGAAGTTCTTATCTTTTCTGTCACAGGAAATAGCAACAATGGAGGGCGTGCATATCCCCCTCCGCACAACCGGGCTGATATTGATCTCTAATTTATTTCATCATCGACTTCATTGTTGTTCTCCCGCTCCTCGCTGTGTGGCAAGGACATTACGATATGCGCTGTTTATTCTCAGTAACTGCTTTTGTTGTCGAGGGACTCAAAGTTCATTACAGGCTGAGAATGTGGTTTGAAACGGAGAGGAGAAAAACGGTGACCCAGATCCAGGGAAATGGAATTTTTTTTTTTTTTTTTTTTTTGCTTTTCTGCTCTTTTCTTTTCTGTAATCGTGAACGCTCGACTCAGCACCTGTGCTGATGTGCCCTTTGTTCATAATAATCTGAATAAAGCCGAAAGTCGCCCTGCTAGGCTTTTCCACTGGATCCTCTCATGAAGACGATGCTCTGGGTTGACACTGCTATGTAGAGTCAGGCCGTTGAGATAACACACACCGAGCTGGCTGCATTGTTGTCCGAGCCCACATCTCCTGATGGAAGGTTCCAGAAACGCCCTTGAAAACACAAACCCTGCCATGCAGAAGAGACAGCGAGGAGCAGGGGCGATGGTGAACAGAGGAACCCGGCTCTGAGAAACATTTCAGTTCAGGTCGGTTCAGTTATGTCACCATGGAGGTTGGGCGGTGTCCGTTTTGGGTCTGCGGCAGAGGGGGGAGGGGGAGGGGGGGGGTTGGAAAGGTGGTTGTGGGGCGTGTCTCAGCTGTTGTTGCTGTGGTTGTAGGTTCTGCACGGCGAAGGGGAAGCATTGGGCTGGTAGTCGAACTTGCCGAGCGTCGAGGGGTAGTAGGTGGTGGTGTAGACGTTCGTCTGCTGCAGTGGCGTCGGGTAGAAGTTGGATCGTTCATCTGGCAGAAGGTTGTTTTTATTCAGTGTCTGGAACAATAGAAGCGAAGAAAAGGAATTTTAACGTCCCACTCTTTCAGAATCACACGTTTTACGCGAGTCGTTTCCCTTTCATGCTAAGCTGAGCTACCTGTCTGCTGACTGTAGCCTTATATTAAAAATACAGACCATGAGAGCAACGTCGATCTTCTCATGTGACTCTCAGGATGAAAGGAAATGAAAATATCCCCCAAAATGTAAAAAAGTTCCTCTTAAACGTAAAGTGAAAAAAGTGAGTTTTTAATGTAAATCAACTTGTTGTCAGGTGTTTTCTAAAATAGATTTTTTTTCCATTTTACAAATAGAGAGTAACATTTCTCTTAAAGCCAGTAACAGCTGGATTTCATTTTAAAAAAGAAAATGATTTAAATAGTCCAATTAAATATCTACGATTTTTATAAGAGACACAAATAACATCGGTAATTCTCGAATCAAATATCTCCACTGGCATTGAGGTTCTGATTCATAACCAAAGCAAACCAATTGACCAAATGTAATTTAGCTCATGTTATTTATACCCAGCGCACTAATAGATGAGATGACAGGAATTCACCAGTCTAACATCCAATGCAATGGCTGAGTCTCAGTAGAAGCTGAACACAGGGTGGAGCATTAGTCTAATGTGATCCATGTGAACAGCTCTGGGGACCGAGGCGGTGAGATAATCAGGTTAGAGTCGGTGAAATACACAATGCTGGGCATCATAAATTAGCCTGGAGATGCACCTGCTGGATAAACAGCGCTGCGGCCGTGCACGGTGACATCGGCTGCACCGTCTGACTGCCCTCTCTGGTCATTAAAGCTAATGAGTTCAGGCTCTCAACCCCACAGCAGCTGTCAGTGTCGTGTCCACGCAGCGACAACAATGGAGGCGGGGACAATAAGTGTCGGGAGGCTGACAATCACAAATACAGCGATGGATCATTGTGATCAGGTACCGTGCTCCTGACAGGGCTCCGGGCTTAGACACGGTCATGGTGGTAGGAGGAGTTGAGGTGAACCCCTGCGGAGGTGAACCCCTGCGGAAACCCCGGCTGATGTTGCACGAATGTCGTGTTGATCGCTTCTTTCTGGTGTGAGACGCAACTTCCAAACACAAACACAGTTGAGACTGAGCTGTTATTAGTTTGCGATGTGTCGGAAAGAGCTGTCAAAGTGTTTGTTTGTAATACCAGCAGATCGATATGGTTTCTTATCTTAATCATTTCAAGCTGCTCTGTGATCACTCAGAGGAACCGGGGAGGACGACCTGTCCTCAGCTCTCAAGGCGAGATGGATGCAGCTGCTGACTTCGGATGATGTAGCCGAATATAAATAAATGAAATGAGTGACTGTGCAACTTCTGAGATGCAGAAGAGTGAATATATGGAGAAAATAATGCCGGCAACAGCCACGAGAAGACAAAAGGATGGTGTCAGATCAACGTATTCGAATTAAAAACTTGGTTGGAGAAACTAAGCGATGGTGACAAAGATCAAACTCAACATATTCAAAGTTTTAAGTTTAGTTCTCCACAGCTGTTTATCACCAGAGCACTTTACAGAAACAGTAACCTGACGCAGCAGATGGTTTGTTTCACAGATGATTTGTTTCAGAACCATCTGGGAAGGCTTTGTTGGAATATCTTTAGAAAAGAGCAGGAACTCTCAAAAAATAATTGGCGGATGATTGGATGAACCATCTGTCTATCACGGTCTATTATGGACCGGGAAACCAATAAGAGGACGAGCGAAAACTTTTCAAGATTCAGGAACTTTGTTGTCATTGTAAAATTAAGTGTTATCTTCAAACCAAATTGTGTTTTTAAAAAGATTTACAAAGTAAAATATACACATTTAAAAAACGACTTTATAACAAAAATACAAAAATAAGGAAAAGAAGTGAAAAATAAAGTTTTTCAACAGAATATAAGAAAAACACAAGTCAAGGTAACATTCACTACAGCAATGTCCGGGCTGACTTCAAACAATGATGTTAACGAGACGCTGCTTCTCGCTGCAGCTGCAAGTGGTTCCTGCCTCATGGACGCTGTTTTGACTACAAGCGAATGAATTGGAAGTCTGGAATAATGGATTCTATGGATTCTTCGTTGCAAGGTTACACTGACGGGAAAAATCAATCATCTCCCCGAGTTAATCAACAATCAGTTAGAGAGCGAACAATGCAAAGTGCAGAGAAAAGGACACAAAGCTGCAGTAAAAGTCTACGAGCCTCTGGTGAAAGTACTTTTCTTGACTGGTTGTAAATGTGAGTGCACAGTAGAGTGATAGCAGTGGGAGGTGGAGGGCTGGATAATGCTTTAGAAAGTTAATGGGGCCCATTAATAAGGACTTGGTTTGTGGGCTGCAGGTAGAAAAAGACTTAGAGCCGATAGGTTCCGTATAAGAGCGAGGAGGAATAGAAATGAACGGTAATTCATCTTCTGTGGTTTGCGCTCAATTGAGATAAATGCATGAATAAACGCTCTAAATAAAACATGAATCACATTCAGTGCCCTTGAATTTTCTACATTTCACATCGGGTGTGTTTGTGTAACACCAGGTTTTACGACATACTACCTTTATCCGTGTGAAATTTAAAAACTCGTACCTTGAACTCCATGGGCGTGTACTTCTCATTCTTTGGCGTGGTGTTGCCCTTGTAGTTGAGGTGGTTGGGGGTGGTAGGGTGGATGACGGCGGACTCCTGCGAGGGCTTATGGAAACGCTGACAGTAGACGTAGATCAAGAAGGACAGAAGCCCCGCCCCGAGGAAACAGGACACGCCCGTGGCGATGAGGTGGATGGAGGTGAATGCTGGGAAATGAAGGAGACGTGGAAAGGTCAGCATACATTATTGCACCCCCATTTTGATTAATGGTAAAGTAATTAAGACATAACTGTAACTTCCTCAGTTAAATTCAACCAGTGAGCAGAGCAGGCGGGACCTCGATACAGCGACTCCACTTTTTTATACAATGGGAGGAAGTGGAGATGCGGCGTCCATCTTCATTCATAGTCTGTGGTTTTCTCCGACACAACCTCGTTTGGTTATTAAAAGTAAAAATGATGTGAAGTGTGTGTTCGAGGGGCATCAGTACTCTCAGCAAAGACCTTGTTGACTTTTGGATTCTTTCATTGCTCCCTCAAGAGGAGAGACGTCAGTGCTGATTATAACTGTGGAACACTGCGGTGGAAACGGTCGGTTCTTTGTTTCTCAGACTGAACTGAGCTCGTGAAAAGGTCGTGTGGCTGCGTGAGGAGAGGACGCTCTGAGAGACCTGCTGAGTTCAACTTCTCTTTCTTCTATTGATGGAATACAACACTGACTTCTGCATAATTACCTCAACAAACGAGGTTATGTCGTCAGCCTTGTCCATTTATGTGTTGGTTTGTTTCTTTTTAAGCTAAATAACACATTCAAATGATTTCCATTAAACTTGGTAGAGTTACACGGTTTGAATCAGGAAAGAAGGTTTTTTTTACTTTGTTAAAAATTGTGAGATAGTGATTTCGTTCAAAATGTTCAAAATTGAGTGTCTCTGTGTTGATATCGGTCTTTTCAGGGACAGAAATGTGCACTTGAGTTTAAAATTTGGGTTTTGTGCTTCCTATGAGGAAATAGTTAGGATACAAAAAGAAAAAAGAAAAGAAAGAAAGTCTCAAGGTTTTATACAAATCAGACACACAGAGCCAAACTGCGTTCTTGAGAGCTTCTTCATTTGCCGTTATACAATAGTTTTGACAACTCCAGCATGTTCCAGGTACCACACTGGTCTGCATCCTTCGGAGGCTGCATTTGAAGACCGATTGCATAACAGCGGCGCAGCTAGACTGTCCAATTTTGAAGGCTCCTTCAAATGTGGCAGACAAATGGGTCCTTTAATCTCTGAGAAACAAAGGCTCCATTCCAAGCCCTACCAATCCCAGGATTCATCGAGCTTTAGTGATGAAGAAAAAAAATCAAGGGGCATTAAAACTTTCTTGTCGTGTCCAATTTTGGCTCTGTTGCCAAGCAACAGTAATAATGGCGGCACTAGCTGGTGATGGCGACCTAGAGCCTCTGTAGGCCAGACTGTTTGATTTTGATTCGGCCTTGGTGGTCTACCAGGGCCACGAAGACTATCACATCCTCTAAAGGATGCAGCTACAGTGGCCAAAATATTTAATCTTCCTCCTGATCAGCTGTTTGAATTTTGCACAGCCTGAAATAAACACTCGCATGAAGATGCACATATAATGTATGAGAACTCACATCATGGTGCAGACATCTGTGGAAACAGATACAAGGACAGGAACAAAGTGAAGGCAGCTGTTAATCCACTTACCTCCGCAGTGTTGGTCCTTATCAAAACCAGATGCAGGGAGAATGACTGCAGAGAGGAGAGGAACACAGCGTCAGACACACACCTGCATGCACACACACACATGCACACGCACACACACATGCACTCTCCCTGGAGAAACAGCCTTCAGAACACACAACCAGCGACTGTAACACCGGGAGAGCTGACACATGGAAAAACAAAAACAGGGAATGAGAAATTGAGATGTTGCTTAAAATGTTCTACAGAGATTTTTTTTTTTTTAGCTTCGGCGAATTCAAAAGGTTCCCTGGTGAGAGCGAGAAAACAGCTCCGCCGTAGTGACCCCCTCTAGATGCTGTTACAGACGCTTGACGGCAAGACAATTATTTACAGCGACGACACATCCTGTCCGCTGCCGAGGAGGAAACAAGGAGGGGAGCAGGGAGGGTTGACGTGTGTGTGTGAACACTTTTAATTGCAGTGCCACATCCCTTGATTAATTTTTTGGCCTAATTTTCCAGCTCCCTCGCAGCCGCCTCCTCTCCACCAGTGACCTTAACAAATCCGTCCATCGCCTCATTGAAATTTGCACTGAAATTAGATGTGATTTGGTGTTGTGACAACCCATTAATATTAATCGCCTTCGTCTGGACTCATTAGGGATTCCGTGTGTGGACGGGCTGACTGCGGCAGGCCATGAAAGATCATTTCAGGAGAAACTTTTCACAGATCGTCATAGGTGACACGGCGAGCTGAGGCCGACGGGGTCAACTGCCAACTTGTTGCATTCGCATGGACTTAACTGTGGTTAATGAGAAGAGCCGGATGAGTTTAGTGCACAGGGAGGATGCAGGCTGCATACACACAGATGAGGCATATGGATGGATGTGAACGCAGAAGGTGAGGATGATGACACTGAACGACTGCGATACTGTGACAATGACGGATGAGCAAAGTTAAACTTAGGATTCAGCAAAGTCTGGCCGTCAGTTTGGTAACTGAGGCTGAGCTGGCTTTTACCATCTGGGCTCCGAGACTCTGGAGTTTAGACCTGCTGGCACTTTACCTGTTTTTAAATCATTGCTTCAAACATATTTTTAGAGGAAAGTTGGATTTTGAAGTGGCTTTATCAGATGTTGCTTGATTTGAATATTTTCTTGAAATGTTTAAAGATATTTTTGAGCATTTTCACGTTTGTTGACTGGATAGTAGGTGTGAAATGGAGAGAGAGAGAGAGAGAGAGAGAGGGGAAAGGGGACGAGTCACAACCGAACCAATAGCTGTGGCAGGAGGACAGGGTGCCAAGAGAATGTAAGAGGTCAAGCACACTGTGTACAATCTCTTTCCACATTAAACCTCTAAATGTATAAGTTTCTATGTGTCATAAAGGGGAAGTGATGTCCTGAAGGTTATGGAAGCTAACATGCGACCAGACGAGTGAGACAGCAGAGCTCATCCCTCACACACCAACATCCCGGCTCCAGTGGAGCCGCTCAGTAAGTGCTGGTGTGGGCCCCATCCAGGTGTGAATGTGTGAACCTGTGTGTGATCAGGGGTTTCCAGTAAAAGACAGGATGTCTCTCGGTGAAAAAATCCAGAATAAATATTGAAAAATAAGTCAAACCAGAAGCATGACTGAGAAAGAAACTGCAGTAGCAAAAGTTTCACACAGGTCGTCTCCTCGAAACTTTGCCAAAGTTGGCCAACCTTGACCTGCTGTGATGGAGGCTGCTCGTGCACAGCGTGTATCTGAGAACTGACTCACCAGGTATTTCATTGCAGTCTCTGCGCTGCGTGCTGTTCCCCACACATGGAGTGTTGCCCTGAGCGCCACACACCCGATTCCTCATCTGCAAGCCTGAATCATCACACGCCGACCACAGCGACCAGGCCATCCAGCCACCTAAACACAGAAAGAAACAACAATCAGCACAAACCCAGACAACCAACACAGGCCTCATCAAACTCAGGAGGCCTGGAAACCAACGCGCCCACCCAGGCCGCCGCCGCCCGTGGCCAGCGACCCTCCCGGCCAGAAGAAGAGCCCGAACACACAGAAAAGTGTTTGTGATGTAAACAGGATTGGAAGAGTGAACCCGTGGAGAGTTTGTTTAGTGCATAGTGGAGATGTTTGTCCTCTGAGCAAAGCTTTAGAGTTGTTTCCCCGCAGCAGGCAACAGAGCAGTAAACAAAGGCTGCGACCCAAGAGGGAAGAGAAAACTCCAGACGCTCAGCTCCTCCCTTTGAACCGCGCACTTGAAGCACTCTGTCACCCTGTGTCTAAAAGCACCGGAGTGAAGGGAGCGATGAAAGGCTGATGAGAAAGCTGGTTTGTTATTCAGGGTGCTCTCGAGTGCAGAGCTCTGGCAGCGAGGGCCCGAGTCCAGGCCTCTTTTACCTTTCCTGTCAGTCTGGTGCTCAGCGACCGGCCGCTCAGTCGCCACCATCTGCTCCCTTCTCGCACCATCTAGACGCACAAAACACACAGACCACCTGAAACTTTTTTAATAACCCTTCGATGCTACAGCCCACTTTAATTGCTTCATTTATTCCCATTTATTTTTGTCACCCGGACGACCTGAGTATTCGCTCTGTTGAGTCAGAGGCAAACCATCGGGCCTGAGGCTCCTCGTTAGTATTCTGTCCCGACACCGCTTCCTGCTGTCCTCCATTACTGATGGACACTTGAATCAAATGACCTACGACAGGAGCATCAAATATACCTGTGACTGACAGCCCGCTTGCCACTAATTACTCATGCAGAGAGGTAAGCGGCACCAGCAGGACCCTCGGTAGATGACCGACGCGGGCCTGTCAATAACACACGCACGAAGAGGAGACAGATCCGGGCTGGAGAGGTTGTTAGCGGACAGTCGATCGGTACAGGCCAAAAGGGATGTATTGGTCAAACTGGAAAACATTAACCTGATGAAGGGGGATGATTAGCATCTCGACAAAGGCAAGGGAGAAAAGACATTTATCTTTCTTTGTCTGTAATTACCGAGGAGGCCGACTGTAAGAGTTACTCTCCCCGTGAATGACAGGAGCGAGGATTCAAAATGAAAAGCAGCCGAGGAAAACGACGGCTAAGGGGAAACTACTATTTAATTCAGACAGAAATCATCTGCACTACATCACTGTAAAAACACACACGCACACTTTTGTTTTCCCGCATAGTGACTAAAGAAACAGGCTGAAAATGACAAAACCCTGAAGCTTTGACATTAAACCTGAGAATCAGAACGAGGCAGAACAGTTATTATGAGTTCTGATACTCGGATCTCATGAATAATTCAGTGTCCTTGTGAGAGCAGAATGAGATTAGAGGGGGGAACATGGAGGAGGCTGTTAAACATCTCATCGTCACGTGAGACTTTGAGCTGACCTCCAAATCAGTGACAAAAAAAAATGAGCATCAGATTTATTTCAACCTAACTGTGGTTTTCTTACTGTATTTCTTTTTCCTGCGCCTTGTTTACTTGTTTTATAACATATTATAATTATAAAACTGAGCTCTTGACGCCACAAAGCCTCGACAGCAGACAATTTACAAACACTCACAACAAATGCATTAATTGAGCTCCATTTATTCATTCCCACTGGAATCAAGTTAATTTTAATTGTCTGTACTGTTCTGTAATAATATAACCATGAGTGCAGTGTCCATTCTAAACCTGTGTCTTGTATTGGGCTGTGGTGCTGATGCTGTTCAGTTTTCAAGTGTGAAGGTGATAAGACGAACAATTCTCGAGATCTGCAGAGATTCGTCAAATCAATCTTGAGAGTCATCATATTGTGTTGTTTGTTTGCTTACCTGCACTTTCAGATGCTTTGTGTGAGATTCGCGTTTGTTTAACACAACAACACAAGTGGAACCTTTTACACAGAGGTCGCTCAGAGCTCCAGGTGCACGGTGGGAAAGACACGGCGGGAGGACATTTTGTTCTGGCAGCGTGACTCTGTTGATCTTTTCATATATCTAGAAGCTCTTTTGTTCATTAGGAGAAGATGAAAGAAGCAATTTAGCAAAGGGGGGACAACACATGAGATGACGCAGCGTGGCGGATGATTGGCCGCCTGGAGGCGTGATGAAAGGACCTGGAACAATGGTGGCACGACGGAGTTAGACTCTGAGTGTGTATGTGACCTTACCATCGCAGGTGTGTGTGTTGCAGAGGGCCTCTTCGGTGTGTAGTCCGATGCAGATGTCCCCTCCGTTGGCGGGCAAGGGGCTGTTGCAGGAGCGTGTGCGTTGGTAGTGACCGCCGCCGCAACCCACTGAGCACAGAGACCAGGACGACCAGCAGGACCACGCACCTTTCACTGTAACACACACACACACGTTCTCGTTGTTGAAACGATAAGATGCAGACTAATCCAAACTATCCCTGCTCCCACTTACTCAGTGGCTGCTCTCTCAGTAAAATCACTGTCCTCAGTAAGCCTGGATTAATCTGGGCTGAGTTTGAATGTCAATGACTCAACACTTGACTGCTGTGACGCTTGACTTCCTGCAGACTTGACGAGATTTCAAAGAGTGGGAGAAACATTCAGCTCTTTAGGTTTTGATCTATCTAATCAGTTTGGATCCATCTAATCCGAGAGCAGTGGAAATAAATAGATGCAGCAACAGGGAGGCGTTTCTTCATCTTTAATATCTGAATAT